AAAAAAAAAAAAAAAAATCACAGCAAAATAAATCTTAAAGATCACAGCAAATAAATTCCCTGTGTTTGTAGTTATGTTGTCCTTAACTACTGAGAAACCTCTGGCTCAGGTCCAGTGATGGTATTGTTAACCCCCAGACTCAATTCAAGCACCACTCTGAGAGTCCGAACATTGCTGCAAAGGCATGAGGAGTTTTATTCATTCAAGCTCAGAGCCTGGGCTGCCCTTTAAGAAAAAATGGGAACAGCCCTTACAGACTATCCAGAGAGTCCCTTTATACCCCTCCCTCTTCCTTCCCAGTAGACCATCCCACCCCATCCCCTTATTGGTAGGTAAACCATGTCTGTCCTAAACTGACAGGTACAGGGTGGTTGTGTTCAGGGTTGATTGGCTCAGGGACGAGTCTTCTTTGTCTCAGGTAGGCGAATGAGAAGGAAGAGATAAAGGTGGCAAGTGGGGCGAGTGCAGAGTAGAGTGGCGAGTACAAAAAAGGGAGGGGGTCAGGATGTGGTCTGAGTGCACAAGGGGGGCTAGTGGGACAAAGGGGAGGGGGTCAGGATGTGGGCTGTAACACCTAGGTATGATAAGGTCTTTGGTATGCAGCGGTCTGTTCTGAATAAACAACAAAAGGAGGTAGTTTGACTTGTGACCTGAGTTAATTAGTTTGGCTCCCACAGTATCACACCCACCTTCTGAGTTCTTCAAATGTTCTCTCATTTCTTTCTTATATCCTTCTAGCCTCCTGGTAGATGAAGCGTCTTAGTCTGTTCAGGCTGCCATAACAAAAATACCATAAACTGGGTGGCTTATAAACAACACTTATTTCTTATCATCCTAGTGATGAGGAAATCCAAGATCAAGGTGCAGGCTGGTTTGGTGTTGGGTCAGGGCCCATTCCTCATTAAAGGCACCTACATGGTTTGTCTTCATATGTAGAAGGGGCAAGAGATTCTCTGTAGTCACTTCAGTGCTTTTTTTTTTTTAAATGATCTTTTACTGTCACCTGGATTTGAGTAACAGTGGCATCATCATAGCTCATTGTAGCCTCCTGCCTCAGCCTCCCAGTAGCCGTAGCTGGGACTACAAGCACACACGACCACATTAGGTTAATTTTTCTATTTTGTATGGAAATCAGGTCTCTCTCTTGCTCAGGCTGGTCTCAAATTCCTGGCCTCGAGCAATCTCCTGCCTCTGCATCCCAAAGTGCTAGAATTATAGGCAAGAACGCCTCTATTTAAGGGCACTAATCCCAATCATGGGTGCTCAACTCTCCTGATCTAATCACCTTCTAAGGTCCCCCCTCTTAATACTATCTTATGTTCCTAGGTTTAATACAGGAAATTTGTGAAGACAGAAACATTCAGGTTGCAGTATGATCATTTGAGTTTCTCCACTCATCATAGATATCCCTTAATTTTCTCATTTTTGTCAACTCTTCATCTCTCTGTTTTGCGTGAAGTCATCAAACTCAGCTCTTCAGATTCTCAACACCATGTCCATGTCAAACTGCCAAGTGAATGTTAGTATTCTCTGGTCTGAATAACAGAGTTCAATATTATCAAACTTGAGATATTTTTCATTTTAAAAGTTTGGTTTTCAGCTCAGTGCCTGTAGCTCAGTGGCTAGGATGCCAGCCATGTATACCAGAGTTGGAGGGTTCAAAACCAGCTCGGGCCTACCAAACAACAAGGACAACTACAACCAAAAAATAGCTGGGGTTGTGGTGGGTGCCTGTAGTCCCAGCTACCTGGGGAGGCTGAGGCAAGAGAATCACTTAAGCCCAAGAGTTTGAGGTTGCTGTGAGCTGTGACACCTCAGTACTCTACTGAAGGTGACATAGTAAGACTCT